ATTAGTTCGATAGGAAGATAAAGACGGACCAAGAGAAGCGATATGACATTTACGTACCTTCCATCTCTTCTTCACCACCACCCATATCCATGCCTCCAAAATCATCGTCAACGAAAATGTTGACGCCAGGAGCTTTAGCGCCCTCCAGACTAGGAGTTGCTCCACGAATATCTCGCCTAGAAGGAAAAAGTGAATGCAGCGGGAAGGTAAATGGTTCGAAAAGATAGGAAGTGAACCCACATGCTCAGTCGATCTCCGGCCATAAAGCTACTGGCGTCTCGCTGCACTTCAACTCCACTGAAAGGATACCATTTAGCAAGGATGAAGCTCGTTCATTACAACATTTGCGCTGTACCTGACATCCGTAACGGGGGCCAGAGGTGGGAATTCACCGAAATCATCTTCCATCCCGAAAGTTACAGGTCCAAATGCAGTATCTCCAAATTCATCACTCTGCAGTGTGCAAGTAGGTAGAATAGTCCAGCAAAAATAAATAAGAATGACTATCAAGACTATAGTGAAACCCATGTGCATGCTATAATGTCCAAATCTTCTATTCGACGCAATCACGGCGCACTGTATATTAGGCAACTCCACGAACCAAGGCCGAACTACCCGTTTTCCATGTGCTCTCTCATATTCACCTCCATTATAGGCACCCGATATATCCCGTCACAACAATTCCTCGATCACTTCGGCTGCGAAACATGAAGTGGGCCCAAATATTTATTAATTAAGACAAAAAATGGTCATGAGGTTTCACCGGGTTCAGAATGCTATGTACAATCCTTTCAATTCCGAAAGCATTTCCTTTTACTGCAGCTCTCCTCCAACTTCAGTACCTACTAACTCTCTCACCACCGACCTGTTCTGATCATACTTTTCATCACAACCATCTTGAGCTTTTGCAAAGCCGAAGAAGAAGTCATCACGGAATATGCTTCCTGAGCCGATTGCCTCGGTATGGATCACTTCATGCAACGTTCTACTCTTTCGAATAAACTTTCCAAATACGATGCTAGTCATAAAGAAAGTACTGGCCAAAACCCAGAACTGGGCATCGTTCATAAATATGAATAGCCGGCTTTCAACAATAAAAGATTTGAGCGTGTGCAAAAAACTAGGCACAACTCACGGCGAATTCGGCGCCGAACATGTGTTGATCAGAAATGTGGTCCTCCTTCAATGTGATATCATCAATTCTGCTTTGATTAATCTGAAATTGTGCATTCTATGCTAAAAACGATCCCATACAGTTATGGAAAAGATACCTGTAAGTGGTTCGCAAACTCGGTTTCGTTGAACTCTGGCAAAGTAGAGTCGAAATCTGTGTAAACCTTAAACGAGGAAAATAGTCTGAAGTCCGAAGACAAAAAAATTGACAGGGATTACTCACTTCTGGAAGTGATATAGCAGCAAACGGCGCTTCCTTCCCCTCTTCAACCATTTCAATTTGTCCAGGACGGAATGCCATTTTGATTTTAAGAAAGGCTTCATTGCAGTCAGCTAACAAATACTTTGCCTTCCTAGAATATATTCGTACGATACCAAGCAGTAGATGTCCAGTAGTTCGTAGAGCCATTTTGACCTATAACAAGCATTACAATGATTCATAGAGGAAAAGCTATAAAGGAAGTGCGGCTTTACCTTTGGTTGCAGTATTTCGTCAACAGCATCTTGCACATTAGTTTCGTAAATTTGAGCTTTTGACAGCTTCTTTTCCCAGTGCGCTGCCAACCAAATCTTTGCAAGTGGCCCTTTTTTTGATAGCACGAATTGGGCGTAAAACATCGCCTGAATTGTTAGACTTTGACAGAAACATACTATTACCCATACTCTCGACTAAGCAAAACAATTAAAGAGAAACGAAGATAGAAATTCAGAAAGATAAGAACGCCAACGAGATTGAATTCAAAAACGCCCGCCGAACGCTGGCACGCTGCCAGTTCCGCAATTTAGAGGCGTTGAATGATTGGCAAGGTACGAGACTGCAGATGTCACGCCAATATTACGCCAAGCGTCAGCAATTGGAAAGGTGCTCCATACATTTGTTGCTTGATTTTCTAAAGCATCTGCATTGTACGAAGCAGTCGACCAGCCTATCAAGCTACACCCTTATAAAAAACTCTCGAAATTGTCGAGGTGGGCGTGAAAGCTTGAGGGTTCGCTGCTTTATACCATCTCCATTTCGTCCGTTAAATCTCCAAGAAAACAAGATCATTTACTAATGGTAACAATGGTAATGGAAGTGAAGTCATGTTGTTTGAACATTCAGTTGCCGAAAATCCACTGTTCCTGGTAAATGAAGCTACCAGACTGTACAACTCTGCCTGTGAAAAGATTCCAAAGCTTTTCTTCCACTAGGAAAACTCATAGGAACCTGCTGAAGCCGTGTTCGACCCAATCACATAATAACCCCTAAGAAGGAAGTCTACGGCCGAGCCTAAGCCTGCCGTCTGGGAAATCTTTTTCCAAGCTTTTCACATTAAGCCATGTGCATGGTTTTCGTCCTCGATAGTGCCTCTCATATGCCAAGGTGACAAATGCCTTTCATCAAGTAATCCAAGACGTCCAGAAACTTCCAGTGTTGCGTGTGATAATTCTGCGACTGCGACATCTTATTTTACGGCTACCATGGCCGGACATTGCGAAATCCTTTCTGCTGACGTCCATTTGGACACTGGCCACGCCCCGCTGCCGCATGCAAACTACCGGTATTGATCCGATTTCGGGCTGGGCGTGGCCATCGAAAGTCTGGCAACAGCAAGGTGGCAACGCAAAGTCTGAATGGAGTCCTGCTTTTGAGGAATAGTTCCACTCATTACAATTCACAATTCCACATCAAGATGGATATTGGGGGAGTTAGGGTTTATGACCAATTTACCCCTTTGTGAACTTGCTGGCTTGTTACTAGTCAGTCAATAATTGTTTTTTAGAGGACCTAATCTCAGATTTAGGTGTTGTTATTTCTTGGAAGTGGTTGATTTTGTCGTTTTATCTCGTTTCGGTAGAGCGCATGCGGACAAGCATCCGTCAGTGCGATCAATACGTGCTTGTGGCGTGTTCGAGCCGTCCCCAGCGATGTTCGGTCCGCTCCTTGTTTTCATTGACGGAGACATTTTCTTGCTTTGAACTTAGCATTCCAAACATGTCCACCAATTCATTTGCTTGTCATCTCCTAGAAGGAAACGCCTAGAGTTCCGCCTGTCCTCGGTGTTTTCCGGACTCTTTTGGCTTAATGTCCCCTTTTTTTTCAAGTTTATTTGCTAGTATTGTGACGAAATCAATCTCATATTCATGAATTTGTTCAGAAATTTATTCATTGGAAGATTGATACTGTCAGCAATCCATGTACTTCTTATGAACTGCTTTTCTCAATTGGTTCCTCTTCTAGCACTTCCATATTATAACTGAGGCAAATAAAGCTCTTTTTCAGTCCGTGCTGACAATTTCCTTGTTTACCACTTGGTTGCTCTGGTAAATTTAGCTGCTTCTTCATTTTATATATATAATAGTGGGGCGCTCACGACATGACATCACACCGGAACTGCAATATCATGACCACAAAAGTTCTTTTTGGCTCGACATTTGGAAAGAATAAATACAGGACCTTTTTGTGGTCGAATAGTGGAAGCTGGATGAATGTTATCAAAAAGAAACTGTGAATGTAGGTATAGTAAAATGTATTTCTGTCGAACATCTATTTTGCAAGTTTCCATTCATTAGGAACTACTGAGCTCCCATGATTAAAAATGGAAGTTTATTCCTTGATATTTTCGAGAGCCACTGATGCCTCATTATAGATCTTGAGGGATTTTTTTTCATGTACCAGCTGAGAAGTATTTTTGTAGAAGTGGTTGTCAAACCGAGTACAATTCAAGTTAGTCCTTGGCGATTTTGTTTCTACAGTGACTTTAACTGTTATCGTCTGCCTCATTCTTTCTCGTAACATCATCGTAGAGCTAATCAGCGAATTAAATTGTTTTCTTACGCTTTTTTCTAGCAAATTGTATGTTTCTAGCTATTCTTCTGAAGGCGGACAAAGTATAACAAGGTTGAGATGCACTGAGTAATGAAGCTCTTGTAATGATTCCGATAGACATGGGTTGAGAGGATCGGAGAATCTCGGTCCCTTCGCGAATTCGTCGACTTCTCGCTTGCGCGGTTCGATTGCTCAGATCAATTCATACCTATTCCATTTTATGGGTTCCCCAACCATAAACGGTCACAGACACTGCACGCTGCCTCAATTCAGGGTCGCGAATGT